ATGTTGGCCATGCTCACTTCACTTTTCGCTCTTGAGTTATACTAAAATTGTAAATTTTATCCCTAATGTTTTATTAATAAAGAGACGAAAAGTGCAACGTCAACGATAACTTAGGGACGAAAAGTGAGTATGATTGATACTTAGGGACGAATTCTACAATTACCATATAACTTAGGGAAGAAAAGTATAATTTTTCTTTAAATTAAAATAACAATAAATAAATATATAAAAAATAATAAAATATATAATACATATATATACACATACATATATGTGTATATATATTAAAATGTCATATTTAATGCATGGACAACAATTTTTTTTTTTCATTTTTTTTCTTTTTTAATTTATTTTTATTCCATTGTATAAAAGTAGAGGCGTAAATGATAATATATGTTTCGTATTTATATTTCAATAGTAGGATAACAAAAGTAAGCAAATAAAATTGATATATAGTGGCTATCAAAATTCATAGTAGGGTGCAAAATTGTTATAGTGCAGTGGTACTAATTGCGAGCTTGATTTCTTATGATCGAAGGCCTAGGAGCAGTTGTAATGTGTGAAGTGAACTCCGGGGGGTCTGAATTTCCTTTGGTCTTATTTGTCTGCTGAGTTTATAAATAGTATGAAAGTATGAATATGTGGTGAGGTGGTTGTATAGCTGAGAACAGGTAGGGGTTTAGGCACCTAATCCTCAGCCGATTTCTGCCTTTAAAAGTCAATAATGTTTGGTAACTCACAAGAAATCGCCAAGAAACTACATCCAAGGCGTCATTATATTGCCAAAGCCTCCCTCGTAAAAACAAATAAATATATCTATTTTTGCATTAATATCTAGCCTGATGGGATAAAATTAATGGTATTATTATTATTATTGAAAATGAATACATGTAATATAATTCAAAAGATAAAATCTCACTCGAATATAATTATTAGAATTCTCATACTATTCTAGATTTGATAATAATGTCTTAGAGCATCTTCAATGGAAGATTTTGCTTGTTTTTGAGGGGTTTTAACAGATATGGGGAGGTATTCTGATTTTTGTTTTTTGTTTTTTTTTTTTTGTTTTGTTTTGTTTTGTTTTTTTGTTTTTTTGTGTTAAGTCTTGATTTTCAATAAAAGGAAAAAAAAAAAAGTTGCATGGGAGCTTCAATTTATTTATTTATTTTTAAAGTACAATGGAGGAGGCCAAGGTTTCAATTAAGAAATTCTCTAGGTCAACGCGCTTCAAGCATCTGCTCGTAAGAGACCAATAATACAATTCGGAGGATCTTCAAGGTGGTCGTCCCCCAAACATTAGACTGCCCAATGTTGGCTAGCTTATCAGCACATTATTACCCTTCCTCCAGACATAGGATAGCCACACCATATCCATCCCCTCCACAATTTTCCTACACTCCCTGATAAGAGGATCCTAGCTAATCCAGATTAGCCATCAAGTCTTAGAGTCCAGTTCAATCACCACTTTCTTGCAACCTCTATTTCTAACCAGCCGAAGGCCCTCCTTTAGGCCCCATAGTTCAACGCTGAAGCTATTTGTAATCCCAATGTTAATCGTGAACCCCATCACCATTTGCCTTAGTGGTCTTTGACTAGTCATCCCACACTAGCCAAGCCTGTTGCGCCCTTCCAAGCCCCATCGGTGTTAAGCTTGACCCAACCCCCCTCGGGCGGAGTCCAGCTTACCCACCTCACTTTTTAGTAAAGCTATTCACGCGTCTAATTAAGGAAAAACCTAGAGTCGTGTGCAAGGTTAGTAGCCCTCCGAACCACTTCTTGCGGCTTCCTCCACTTATTTTGAAACACTTCCTCATTCCGATCTTTCCATAGACCCCTTGTTACATAGCCGGCATGTCAGAGTTGGTGACCACTTTGATTTTTAAACATTATTTTAATTAATATTTTTAATAGTTTTCAATGTTGAAAATTCTACATTGCAAAAACACTTCTTAAAGACCCAATATTAATGGGTTTGCTTAAAGGCATCTCCAAAAAGAAGAATGAGTTGACATGGCTAGAGAGAGAAAGACATTGCAGAATTGTGCAAGTTCCGCAACATCTTTGACATTAAAAGAAAAATTTAGATGTAAGAGGCACAAAAAAGCAAGCAGTCAGCGTTGTTAGAGAGCTACACTCAACATTTATTGGATGCAACTTGTAAAAGATTAGAGTTGGAAATCCTTTACAATATCAAATATATTTTGATAGTATTTTATATTTGAGGGAAAATGGTTAAATAAGCCTATGAACTTTACTCAAAAAGTCAATTAGGTCCCTAAATTTTTAAAAAGTACAATTAAATCCATCAACATATTATTTTGGTGCATTAAGCTAAAGAATAAGTTAGTTACCCATAATAATAGGTCACTAGAGTTTTGACGATACTCCAACGATGCTCCGACCAACACCGGCGCTCATTGGAGAAAGCGACTTAGATGATCACCTGACCTAGTTGGTCGCCTTCTCCGATGAGAAAGCGACCAGTGACCGTTCGCCCGTCACCGATCGCTTTAGTTTGTTGTCGGAATAGTGCATGAGCCAACCAGAGTATCGTCGAAACCCTAGTGACCTATTATTATAGGTCACCAATCGGTTTTTGAGCCCATTTAACCATTATTTTCTTTATATTTGATGTAATTACATCCTTTGTGTTTTTAACACTTTTGGTAAAACAAGGAACACAATTAAAGAGTAGGAAAATACAAAAGATGATGTCTGAAGTCAAATGTGAGAATTTTCTTTGCATTGAAGATTTAGGCAAAAGGCGTATGAACAATATAATCGGGCAGTTTAGCAAACTAGGTACTAACTTGGGGTGGGAGGGAGCTGAGCATGCTAATCGTGGAAGCTTCTAAATTAAAGGAAAAGACAAATATATATGCAAATCATAGACTTAAACGAAATCTTCAAAACATTTGTATAGTGCCGTGTAGATGTGTAGCCTATGATGCCGGTTGGGACAAACCAATTCAAATATTCAATTCAATGCTTTCACTCGTTTTTATAATGCCGTTGATGTCACATTATCTAATTAGACGACCACATTTTCCGTTTTGAAAAACGTACCAAAGTTTAGAATAATTTGATCTCTTCACCGTGTTTTTGTCACTCCTAATAACTAAAAACCACGCGCACGGAAAACATATATGTCCATCTGGAAAATAATAGTTTATGTTTAATTGTATATTAGCAGCCATAATAGCATGGTAATGATCGATTGTTATATCGTGGATCAGGGTCCACAGTATATTATAAATCCTGGTCCAAAACACATGATTCATGTTTATAATACACATACACATAAATAGGATATAATGAACATGAATTCTGTGTATTATATAAATGAGGACACATAAACACTTGAAATAATACACAGAATTCATATTTATAATGCACAAAATTCATATTCATTATATCGTGTTTATATGTTTGTGTATTATGAACATGAATTATGTTCATTATGAAGTCAAATTTTATGTATTGGACCGGAGTTCACGATATAATTTGTTGGTAATGATTATTTCTTTTTCATTTAAAAAAAGGTCAAATATGTCTTTGAACTTTATTCAAAAAGTTAATTAGGCCTTTAAACTTTCAAAAGTATCAATTAAACCCATAAACATGTTATATTTGGAACATTAAAGCTCAAAAATCGTTTGGTGACTTGTAATTGTAGGTCACCAGAGTTCAAGCGATCCTTCGGTGGCACTTCGATAACTCCGGCGAGCCTCCGACCAATTTCTGACGAAATTTCGAGGTCAAGCACAAGCGACCGTCAAACGATCGCCAGTTGCGTTTGAAGAAGGCGACCGAGTTGGTTGCCTTCTCCATTCGCCAGAGACGGCAAACCAACTGGATTGCCTTCTCCAAATGCGACCAACGACTGTTACGGTCGCCAGTGTTTGACCTCAAAATTTCGCCAGAAATTGGTCGAAGGGTCGTTGGAACCCTAGTGAGCAGTGACATGCAATTATAGGTCACCAAACGGTTTTTGAGCTTTAATGCTCTAAAATAACATGTTTATGGGTTTAAAGACAACTTTTAAAAGTTTAAGAGTCTAATTGACTTTTCGAATAAAGTTCAAGGGTCTATTTGATCCTTTTCTTTAAAAAAAAAATTATATATGCCACACGATAAAAAGAATTATATTTTTAATCTTTCAATTATGTAGTTTTAATTGTTGTAATTTAATGTTTCAACCGTTACAAATTACACTCCTAGCATTAATACTAAGTTGTAATTTTTGTATTTTCAACAACAAAATCGTGAACCTTTGTTACAATTTGATTTATATTTTAGAACAAAATTACATTAAAAATTTAGAATATAATTTTTCTAATGAAGATTCACAGCGGCTAAAAAGCATGAATTAAAATGATTAAAGTTGCATAATTGAAAGAGTAAAACTACATTTTTTTCCCCTTAAAAAAACCACTCAAAAATATGTCTAGCAAAGTGTATTTTAATCTTTTAGACAATAAAATTTGTAAGAACTTTTACAAGGATAATTAAAAGGTATGCACCTACTATCTTTAATAAAAGGGGATGAAATGATAATAATTTCTTAAATAGAATGATATTTATTTGTAAAAATATCATTGTACCTTTCTTTATTTAATACTTATTATACTGAGTGATTAACTTCCTCTCGGAACTTTTTTTCGAATGTAATTTCTCTTGATGGTTCTTATTATTGATATATGCAATGTTTCTTGTGTTTTAAAAAAAAAAATAGTTATTGACCAAGTTTGGGAAATTGTAACTATGAAATATTTGGCTTAGACACATTAAATGATGAAATGTGAAAGCTATCTAAAGCATAAACTTGTGGGAGAGGGACACCTCAACCTCTCTTCCTAAAAGTCAAAATATGGAAGCTTCAATAATGAATAATAATCCCACTCAGGTATATACATTATGACTATGTATTTATTTATTATTTATATTTAAAAAGGACAAAAGAAATCTATATATACAATCAAAAGTCCTGAGCTTTCTCTCTCTCCCATCTCCATTGTATATATCTATATATATAGTACATGCAACCTATCTAGCTAGCAATTTCTATCATTCAAATCCACCTCCCCTGACCATGGCAGATCAGCAGAGAATTCATCCGGTCCCGGACGCGGATCCGGAGAGGTCGCCGCGACCCACAGCTCCGTTGGTGCCCAGAGGCTCTTTCCGGTCGGAGAAGGGCGATCCGGAGCAGCCGACGCCATTTCCGGCGCCGTTACGGAGGACAATCCCATACTCACCTTCAAAGCCTCCAAAGAAGAGAAGCTGCTGCGGGAGATGCGTGTGTTGTACGTGCTGCTTTCTCTTCTTCCTGATCGTCGCCATAGCCGCGTCGGCGGGGATCTTGTACCTTGTTTTCCGGCCGAAGATCCCGAAATACTCGGTCGACAGCCTGAGAATCACTCAGCTCAACCTCGACAACGCCAACAGCCTCTCCGCGACGTTTAACGTTAACATCACGGCCAGGAACCCGAACAAGAAGATCGGGATATACTACGAGGGCGGCAGCAATCTCAGCGTTTTCTACGCCGGAACTAAGCTCTGTGAAGGGTCGCTGCCCAAATTCTACCAGGGCCACCGCAACACCACCGTGCTCAGCGTCGATTTATCCGGCCAAACCGACAACGCCTCCGGGCTGATGCAGTCCCTGCAGGCGCAGCAGCAGACCGGAACCATCCCGTTGAACCTGAGGGTGAAGGTTCCGGTGAAGCTCAAGGTGGGGAAGTTGAAACTCATGAAATGGAAGTTCTTGGTGAAGTGCAGGGTGAATGTGGATAGCTTGAGACAGGATAACGTTATCCGGGTTAGGGATAGCAGTTGCAAGTTTCGGTTTAGACTCTAAACTCTCTCTGATCATATTTTTCACGTCACCACCTGAGCCACCATCACTTTTCATATTTATTTTTTTCATATTATTATGCATTTTTTTGAAGGCTTGCTTCATAGATCACATAGCTTGGAGGAGATTATATTGTTTTTTTTTTTTTTTCTTGGGATAATAATGATAGATGATGACATATTGATATACACAAATCATCTGTATGACTGTATTGTATATTTATAGAATGTACCACTAGCTTCTATTTGTTAGTATGCTATGTATAATAAATTTCCTTGTTCTTTAATTCTATTGTTATTTTATATATATTTAATTTAATATTTGAATAAATTGATTTTGTCGCCCCCAGTATGTAATTCTGTGTTGAAAAAGTCCAGTAATTGTATTTTAAACCAATATGGTGGATTGGTGGATATTATATATATATATATATATATATATATATATATATATATATTGAAGCTTTCTGAAGGGGTAGAATATTTCGACAAGTAAGCTGAACAGTTCAGCGCAAGCTTAAGTATACCAGAGTTGAATAGATTGTTGGGACTTGGGAGACAATTATATTTGACTGAATAATTATATAGTAAAACACTCTAATCAATTCAATTCATTATAAGATTGATCTGTAATAATTTAAAAAATTGTAACATTTGACTTAGCTACACCGCAAATTATACCATGGATCAAGGTCTACCTTACATTGTAGACACTGGTCCAAAAATAACATTCAAATTTTATAGTTGACACATTTTACATCTGCAGTATTGAAGGTACAAAATTTTTGTATCAAGGTTTACAATGCAATATGAATTCTGATCCATGGTATAACAATTGAGATGAGCAAATTATACCGTGGACCGCGGTTCAGGCATCAAATATGCACTGCAGTTTCATTTCAACACAACTACAATATCATTTTGATATAACTACAGTTTTGCTGGACAATATACACTCAAATATGTGAAATTGTTATTCAGTTTCATTTTGTATACATTGCAGTTTCATTTCAACATGACTACAGTTTTATTTCAATTCAATTGCAGTTTCATTTGATAATATAATAAAAATAATACGTAAGACAATGTCAATTTAGGCAAATTATTGTGTGGACCATGGTACACACAATGTTATGTAGAACATAACAAAAAGTGCATTTTTAATATACTAAATGTACATTATTTTTGTACTGAATGTACATTATTTTTGTATTGAATGTACATTATTTTAAAGTAGACAAAATATGATCTACACAACTTGTATGGACCATGGTCCACACAATAATGATTGGTCAATTTAGGTACACTATAGTGTTTGCCGTTTTGGACCATGGTCCACAGTATAATTGAAGATGTACAAGGCAGGGATAAACTACTTATCAGGCCCATACTTACTTTAATGGGCTGAAGCCCGCTCTAAAATGGGCTATATTTCCTGTTTTCATATTACCCGGCCTTGTTGATGGGTATCAACTATCATGGTGGACATTAATCTGACCACTCCTTCGAGATTTTTTTTTTCTTTTCTCTTTTACAAATTATTACAACAGTAGTTTTCTTCTGTACTTTCAGAGGCTAAAATCAATGGAAGAACCTAAGAACTAACAATCAGAGAACAGAAAGTAGTTGGAGAATGGCATTGATATCATTTTCTTCTCCTTCAGCTTGTTGCTGTTCTCTCACTGCTGCCATTAATGGCGGAAAAGCTACTTCTTTGGCTAGCCCTTTGCGCTATAACCGTCTTCTTATTCAAAGACGAAGTCTTTCTTCATATGGCAGCAAGAAGCTCCGGTGTTATATCAAGGCCAAGACGACGGGTTCCAATTTGGAAGAGAAATCCCAATCCTCAGACTCAGAAGTGGAGTGTGTGGGTACTGGCCTGGACGTGGAATGCCTCGTCACGCCTTCAGATGGAGTTTCCGAGAACTCGGAGCTCAAAAGTCAAGATTTGTTGGGGGAAATATGGGAGTGGGCTTTGCTAGTATCTCCTTTCTTCTTCTGGGGCACGGCTATGGTGGCAATGAAGGAAGTTTTGCCCAAGACTGGGCCTTTTTTCGTGTCTTCATTCCGGTTGATCCCTGCTGGTATGCTCTTGGTCGGCTTTGCTGCTTCCCGGGGCCGGAATTTCCCTTCCGGCTTCAATGCTTGGCTTTCCATCACACTTTTTGCCCTAATTGATGCTGCTTGCTTTCAGGTTTTCATTCTTGTGCTTTCAAGTTAGTGCGTGTTGATCATTTGAGAGTATGATTAACCCTTCCTCTTTTTTTTTTTTTTTTTCTACAATGGTGGACAGGGTTTTCTTGCTGAGGGGTTGGAGAAGACATCAGCTGGTTTAGGCAGTGTATGTTGAACTAATCTAGAGAATTAGGAACAAGTTATGTTTGGCAAAGGCATTGTTTCTTATGTTCCAATTGTTGCAACAAAGTTAACAGAGCTTCTAATCTAGTTCTACTGCATAAGTTCTTTGTGAATTGTGAGACACATCTACATTCTTGAACTGGAGATAATAGACATAATCACTTTAACATACTCTATACATGACTTGCGGTGCCTATAAGTTAAGCTCGCTATGTTCCGTGCTCTTATTTGAATAGTAAAGCATTTGCTTTGGTGTCTCTTTAGCTAAACTAGACTTGACGCCATTTAGGAATTTGATTGTTTCAGGTAATTATTGATTCGCAGCCTCTGACAGTGGCTATACTTGCTGCTCTGTTATTTGGTGAGTCTATTGGATTCGTTGGAGCTGCGGGGCTTGTACTTGGGGTGATAGGTCTTTTGCTTCTTGAGGTTTGTTGCGGTTCATGATGTGGTGCTATATTCTTGAATACCTGCTAAAGTAACTTAGCATATACTAGTCATTGATTTTTTTTTTTTTTGGGGCATCGATTTCTTTTATACAGTTGCCTGCCCTAACATTTGATGAAAGAAGCTTTTCACTTTGGGGAAGTGGGGAGTGGTGGATGCTTCTCGCGGCACAAAGCATGGCAGTTGGCACAGTTATGGTCCGTTGGGTTTCCAAGTACTCGGATCCAATCATGGCTACTGGATGGGTGAGTCTTTTATAACTTAGCTCTTCATCATAAAAAATGTGGTTTCCAAGCTCTATCCATGTCCTAGGTCTATCACTTCCTTTTTCTCTTAGTTATAGCTCAACTTGAACATTCGAAGTTTGGTAAATTTTGAAATGTTTGGTTAATGCAATCTTGATTGCAGCATATGGTTATCGGTGGCCTCCCTCTGGTGGCTTTCTCCATACTTAATCATGATCCTGCCCTTAACGGGAGTTTGAAGGAGCTTACTTCAAGTGATGTTTTGGCACTGCTATATACCTCGGTTTTTGGAAGTGCCTTAAGCTATGGTGTGTACTTCTATAATGCCACAAGAGGTCAGTTTAGCTTCAAATTACAAAAGCCATACCATTTATGATTTAACCATCCAGATTTTACGTCATCTTTGACGACTGTCTAAATGCATTATTGCAGGCAGCCTTACAAAGCTCAGCTCTCTAACCTTTTTGACTCCCATGTTTGCTTCAATATTTGGGTAAGATTATCTAGACAGAACAATAAATCTATCAAATGCACTCTACTAATTGAAAAGTTGTAAATAATTATGAGCTCTAATAATACATAATTAGAAATGAACAATAACCTTTTTGATTACTCCTTGACTCTGCTACATTCATCAACTACATGTAATATCAGGTTCATATATCTCGGTGAGACCTTCACACCTGTTCAATTGGTCGGTGCACTGGTAACTGTGGCAGCAATTTACATGGTTAACTATAAAAGCGATGAAGCGTGAAATCTCGTTAGTTGGATAGATTCTTCTACAGACGTTTGAACAATCTAATCTGTGTACATATTTCTATATGCTGTAAAAAGAAATGGCACTTTGGGTGCTATTGCAAAAGTCAAGAATATATATATATCTGTCAAGTTTTTACTTTTTACAGTGTAGTTAGAATTTTGGGAAGGAGCTTAAGATTGTAAAAAGTGTATACAGACTAGTCCTCTCTGAAATTCAATGAAGGCCATTATTCTGTACCAAGTGCCTGCTGTACTAATTTATTGATTCATATAAGATTAAAAAAGAAAACATGATTGAAACTGACATGTTCATTGATTTCCAGTTATACAAAGAACAATAACCGGTTCGATCTACCTAACCAATCCCTTGAAAGAGCAACCCGAGTTGCAAGTTTGCAAAGCACAAACACAAATATATTCTCAAACCAAAGCACAGCTAAAACTCTAACAGATGTTCAACTTGTGGCTGCCATAGGTGATACATGGAGGCCTCTGGGTCCAACTCTGCCATGCCCTCCTATTCCAGTTTGCTGATTCTTAAGATCCCTCTTTTTTGCAGCCATTTCGTGGCTTGGCTCAGAAACAACATTCCTCTGAAAGCCTAATGGGCTCAGGTTATCATCCCTGCTGTAATAAGACCTTGAAGTTGTGTCGCTAGAATTTGGTTCCCAGGAGGAAGGCGAAAGCCAATGAGGCTGACCGCTCACAAAGCTGTTGCTTCCTGAGGATTCTTGATCTTCGGTGTCACCCCCTTCAACATTCCCCCTTCTCGTGGTGACATACTTGTGAATGCTAGGCTCCATTAAATCATCACCCACAGCTACCTCAGACTCCATGAATGGATCTTTCACCCCTAACCTCTTCTTTCCAGGAGGGTTTACTGTATTATCGTTCTTGACAAACTGCTCCGACGTGAAGTTTCTTCTTCTGTCCTCGGTGAGATTGGAGCTAGTGCTGGAGTTGAGGTCAGCCACGGCCTCAAGAATCGAGCAGGCCTTGGTGACACAAGCTGGGAGGCTAAAAGCTGGGGCGTTAGGGGTGTTCTTTTGGTGGAAGTTTTGGATGTCTTCAAGCAATAATGCTGTATAGTTTTGGGTCGAATTTGAGTTTAATAGAGCTTCAGGGTTAAGGTCTAAGTCACGAGACAACCTAGACGACCTGCTTCTTGTTACTCCCTGTGGTTTAAGGCTTTCAGATCCTGGAACAACAACATTCACTGCAACATTCCCACCAAGTGCTTGGACTGCTTTAGCCTCCTCCATTATCAGCTGCTTGTTACCAGTTCCTCCTTGCACTTTGCCATTGCTTATATTATCACCATTCATCTTCTGCACCTGAATCATCAAGAAACTATATTAAGGATGCATTTACTAAACAGCGAAATGGTCAATTTGGGACAACTCCAACTAAATTGGTCAGACTGTCGATTTGGTAAAAACCCAATGTTCCAAATCCCAGAGAGGGCGGCCTATTAGCCTTCTTGGTTTGAACTGGTCAACTACAGACAACTTAGACTGGTTTATCTCATTTGCTGACTAGGATCACAATGGAGTGTGATCTCATACAAAGCTAAGCAAAACTATGAGAGTAAGCATTTCGAATTCAAGAAGTAATACCTGAGAGAGTGTGGTGTTTTTGGCAGGCTTTGTTACTGGTTCAATGACAACATTGGTGTCAATCTCACTAAGAGGGTTTCTTCTGTAAGGAGAGTGTTCGGCTTTCCTGGAATTGCTGCGGCTAAGGGTTACGGGCTGGTTCTCCTTTGCAGAAGTTCTGGCAGGGGAGCGGGCACGGGGAGAAGCGGCGGTTCTTGAACCATCACCACCACCACCACCCACATTTCTCTTCACCTGAATCCTCTTGACGGCGGCAGCTGAAATGGGCTCCCCACCAGCATCAATGCTCTTATCCATTGCCAGAGATGAAACAGTGGCGGGCACAGAAACCATCTTCCCTGGCCTCCCATTGCCGTTCCCAGAAGCAACTGTTATGGGTGATTCAGATCTTCTCCCAGGAGATCTGCTCACCCTTCTCCCACCATTACTGCTACCTCTTTCTCTGCTTCCAGATCTCTGCTGTTGCGTTGCCTGCTCTCTTTCCCTACTGGGCGTCCTTCTTCGGCTGTGGGACGACGAAGGGCTAGCGCTACCCCTCGGCTGACGCTCCCGTTGTCTGTGCCGGTGGACTCTCTCTGTTTCTCCATCCCCACCATTCTCTTCGGGGTTTTCTCCTCCATTTTCATTGTCAAAATCGTAACTCCTCTTAGACCCAGAGTATTTCTTAGTCCTCTGGAGATTCCCAGTATTATTATCAGAAGAGCCGGAAAATGCAGCCTTTCCGGTAGAAGAGCTCCGGCTAAGTCTCCCACATTGGATCAATATAGCGTCAACCTCTTCTTTCGTACAGCTCGAAGTCCTCACCGGAGCTGAGACCACTATCCCATCCTCCTTACCCACCCCGCCATTCGACCCACCGCTCCTTACCGGTTCAAGAACCTCGGCGGCGGCCTTCTTGGATTCACCCTTTTCTTCTTCAGACCGCCGCTCCACCTCGTGGCTTTTCCGGTGTTTAATGATGAAAATCTCCTTCTTCACAGTCCCCTCTTCAGATTTCTTCACCAGGGGAGGAGGAGGATTTGGGGATTTGGTTTCTTGCTTGGGGTTCGAAGACGGAGTAACTGGAGGAGCAGAAACACAAGTAGAACCGCTCTTCTTGCTAAAACAAGTACCCATTTTTCTTCCAAGAAGGGAGAAATGGGAAATTTGCAGTAGAGACAAGTGATGAAGGGATGTTGAAACTTGAAAGCCTCTAATGGATGAGAGAATTTGAGAAGAAAGCTTTTGGAGAAAAAGATGAAGAAAAGGGGGTCCAGAGTTCAAGAAAACCACTGATTTTTAAAATGGAATGAGAGAGAGAGTGAGATTGAATGAATTTCAAAATTTTGACTGATAGGCGGGCCAGCCAACATGAGAATAGAGCCGTTATCGATTCTTTCATGGGGTTTTTGAAAAAAAAAAAAAAAAACATATAATAATGCTGTCAGGTACCTGCCACCCTTGCTTTTACGTAATCAATAAAATTTATATCACTCCGTACTTCGTATTAAACATTTGTTTCCTCCGTATTTTGGTTCAGTAACATGTATCCTTTGTATCCAAACATATCTCACTTGATTGACCGGTTGACCAATTCAAAATACGGTATGAATTGATGAAATTCATATCATTAACAACTGTATTAATTGTAATGTGTGAGTTCAAATTCTATAGATAGAACGTATGAATTTGTCAGTTGCGGACACCATGCACAAACACATTAGGAAACTTACAATTATTGGGCACATCTCAGAGTTAATACTGTTTTTAGTTCTCAGAGTATAGTGATTTTGTCACTTTTAACTTTAAAATTGATCAACTATATTAAAATTTTGTTACTTCTAATTATCCAATAATTTCTTCTTCTTTTTTTCTTCTTTCTCGCCAAATGGTCATTGACAAGGTCAAAAACGTAATTTCATTATCATATCTCCTAAAGCATTCCAAATTTGAAGAAAAACAAACCAAGTCATTCCAAATAGTTGCAATAGTTTTAACATCTTAAAATATTTTTTTATTGTATTTTTAAATTTGGAATGACTTAAGTTCGAGATAATGAAACTATGTTTTTAACCGTCTCTCAAACGGCCATTTGACATAAAATCAAATAGATAACAAAAGTTACCAAAAAAAATCGATACTTACTAGACCAAAATTTGTTGATTTTAAAGTTCATAACCAAAAATAGTAATATCATTATATTCACAGGAGGGGCAACAAATGGTATTAACTTGTACATCTCAGCTTTGGGTTTGTAAAATTGTCTTTATTTTTTAAAAAATTTCTTGAAAACGGTTGGATTAAATTTGGTATTAAATTGAATTGACGAGTTCAAAAAATGGACATTCCTGGAATGCGAATATGCAGGTGGGAATCTTGATCCACTCTGGAATGGAGAATCTTTTAAGCTTAGCTTGCAACGGTCGTGTGATCTGGTTGAGTGAAGAGCATGTGGGTCCGGTCAGTAGTTGAGATCCAAATTTGTATTTGTTGTTGAAGTGTTTGGTAGGACTATGGTCTATGGTGTCATGCCGTATAGGAAAAGGACTAAGAATTTATGATGTAGACAATGCTGAAGATACTAAGTACTTCGCCTACCCTCTTAGGTGTCTTCACTCTTCACATTTTGACTCAATACACATCACGCAAGCAGTGGTTAGGTTGCATATTCATTATTTGATTCAAAGGTCCTCATTAAATAAAATTGTACAATGGAATGAATTACGAGATTACATGTGTTGTAAAGTTGTATCTTATGTTTTGTTAGAAGATACATAAAGAATGTTACAACTTGTGTAGTATATAGCTTTACAAAAGATGAACTGATGTGTACATAGATCAAAGCATCTTAGTTAACCAAATAACACGAGCATTAAATCCAAATAAACAGGGCCATTGGGGTAGAGATGGAGTAGATGACATTGCAATTGATAGAGTATTTGGGAGTTAAGATTGACTCACTGAATCACTGACAAAAGAGAGTGTTGCGTAGCTTATACCCGCCAATGGGGACATGCTATTTCACTATATCAAGCCTATATCAGGCCCGCTTGTTGTAGATTATCATGACACTAGCTGAGATCGAGTATAAATAGTTCCCCTATGTCTAGCCAATTGGACTCCTTCATTGTTACTCATTGTATTAGATTCTTATATTGCATCCAATAGAACATGCCTAGCTTGTTTATGATCCACTTGTACTCGCCTTATTAATACATTCTTACTTCATAATCTTGTATTTTGTAATATAATTTTAAACACTTACTCTCGTTGCTATCAGCGACATTATAATTCACATAATTTTTTTATAAAATAAAGATCACATTGTCATTTTTAAATATAATATAAACCCGACAAATATTTTTTTTAAAAAGTATATCGAAAAAGTATTGTGTATATTATCATATATATATATATATATATATATATATATATATATATATATAATATGCTATTTTTGCAAGTCATTACTCATTGTCATCTTATTTATAAAAAGTTTTTTTTTTTTGTAAGAACAATAAATTTTTAGTATTGTAAAATCAGGAACAAAGACCAACAATTTATATCCTACACCACGGCGCGCGTTGCACTATGCGCCCAGATGCAAAACGACGTCGTTTGAATTATTATTTTTTTTTTGAAATTTCCCGCCCCAGTGAATGGCAGTAGTTTTTTCTTTAAAAAAAAAACCCGCTGTTCAAGAATGTACATAATGTTATACTAAAATACACATAATGTTATACATGAATGTACATAATTATATAACAAAATATACATACTCTTTTTAAAAGATAATACACATAATCTAACATAATACATAATAAACATAAACTTTTAACATAATACACATCAACTCTTAACATAATACACACAAATTTTCTGATTCGGATGTACATAATTGTATAAAAAGAATGTACATAATTGTATAAAAAATACACATAACTGTATGAACCAATACACATAACGTTGTGAACAAATACACATAACGTTGTGAACAAATACACATAATCTCAGCAACTTCCTACCGCGCCTCCCAACACTATCCCAAAACGACGTCGTTTTGGGAGGCGCGCGATGCACAGTGTTATATGCACCGTGGTGTAGGATATAACGATTGAACGGATATGGCCAAGGCTCAAATGGACAAAATTTTGAATCGAATTTATTATTCAACAATTCGTGTCGTGAACAAAATGGATTATGCCTCGTAAATCGAAATATTCCGCGCGGGAATGTGTTACTTCATACCTGTACTATCTAAGTATCCTTATCCCTCAAATAATTTATCACTTTTAATAATAAGTGTTACTCAAATTAGTATGGTATCCGTGCGATGTACAAATAAAAAATTTAAAATATTCAAAATTCTGTTAAATACTACCCCTTATAAACATCTACCCCTTATAAACAACGTAACAAATAATAAACTAAAAAACAATATCCATAGTCATTTATATTGCAAGAAATCCATCATTAATTATAATACACAAAACTTACTTTAAACTTATGCAATAGAATATAAAAAAATACAATAAAAAAAATAATTCTAAAACATGGAGATAAGGTGCTTTACATGTTGGAGGACAAAAATAAAGAAGGGTAGTAGAGTCTTTTTCCTTTGTATTAAATCTGTTTCAACTGTCTCCTTCCCTGCATTGTCATCTCCCTCGTGTATATATTAATAGATTATGAACTTGAATGATAGCAGGTTATTGTAACAACCAGTCTAACAATGCTACGTAACAGGAATGTAACTAGAACTAATCATATACAAAAGATGTCAGACACAGATATCCTTAATATATATATCCCCATGTTCTTATAGTTCCAGCTGTAAGATGTATAACAGATAATGCAGTCCATATATTTCCTCTCGTTCCCGCTCAATCGTTTCTTTTCCCATCATTACATACACTGTCAGGAGAAAATAAACATTTTGAAATTTAAAAACATAAGTCACAAAATAAAATATTTTTTATTAATTCAAAAATGAAAATTAATTCTCTTGGTCAAATCGTAACATGAGCCTTAGAGATTTCTGATTTTGATGTTGATGCTCTAATTTTCTCATATCACAATTGTTCTTAATAGACAATCATTATGACTCTGCTCTCAACATTTTCTGCAACCTGTGTAAATACTATTAGGATACAAATTCTTAGTAATAGTAGGTAGAATATATATGCATCCTTATGTTTTGGCCAATTTTTTGTTGAAAAAATAGCATTAAAATAGCATTTTAAGTGGCTATTTTGTGGTACAATTATCGGTGGGGTCCACTTTCGATTTGGGTCGGGTCAAAGTGGATTCGGGTTCTTCGTAGTGAGACGAAGAGATTGATATATTCTACGCTCAAAACGGATAATGGGCGAATGAGATATTGATTCTCAAAGTAGACCCATTGAGTTGGAAAAATGAAGGGAAAAAGTGAGCTTTTGTCCCACATTGGTTTGGAAAGAGGATTTGACCCCCCTTTTTATAGCATAGAGGCTCTCGCGCGCGCGCGGGCGGGGGGGGGTGTGCAAATCAAATTCCAATTAGAGATGACTTCGAAAACGCTTGATTCAAGCCCGAGTCGTCCGGAAATTGGCTGGCCTTGGGATTAAATTTTACAGAATTACGGACTGATGTGGGATTAAGTTTTACAGAATTATTCGGCCTGGGGCTGAAGGCCAACGGACTGATGTGGGATTAAGTTTCTCTGTTACAGAATTAATTTCCATTTAATTCAGATGTAATTTTGAATTTAAATCCTGGGTTATGGCTGGCTGTTCAAGATGTTACAAAGCCAAGGTTTAATGGCCTTGTTTAATGCTATTTAGTACTACATCCCTATATAAGAAGGGGTAGAGGGAGCAGATTTTCTAAGCACGAAGTGACAAGAACACACAACACAGAAAGTGGTTTCTCGCCTCAAAACTCTGTTTCTACTCCTTTCTTTGCCTAAACTGTGTTCATAGCTTTGCTCTAGTTCGCCGGGTCCGTTCGTTTGGGTACTCAAACGTCGAACCGTAGCGCGTTTTATCCTGGGAAACCTAGGCCACGGCGCTCCTAGCAATTTTAGGAGGTGACAAATAAGGTTTTAAGGAAAGAGTGGTCTCTTGACTCACGCTAAAAACCCTTACCCAAACACGAGCCAATCTTTCCTTCTTTCGGTTTTGGATTATGCTTCTAAGCAAAAATCCTCCTTTTATGTTATAGTTTGGTTGGAATTATAATCTGTGTATTATAAATTCCATTTGGTTGATATGCATTTATCTTTTCCGTAGATACTCATGCATATAA